GCCCAACAGGTCGAGGCTGCGGGCTGCGGTGATTTTGAACCTACCACTGCACTCCAGCCTGGGTGACAGAGTGAGACTCCAACTCACCAAAAAAAAAACAAAAACAAACTTTAAGAGGTTATAGGTTCATGAGCACTCTGCACTCCTGAATAGGTTCATCCATTAATGGATTAATGAGTTATCACAGGAGTGTATTAGTTGTCATGAGAGTAGGTCTGTTATAAAAGCCAGTTTGGTTTTCTCTCGTGAGCCTCCTTGCAATGTAAGCCCTGCACTGCCTTGGGTCTTTGAAGAGAGGCCCTAGGGCAAGAAGGCTCTCCCTAGATGTGGCCCCTCAGCCTTGGGACTTCTCAGCCTCCAGAACTATAAGAAATGTCTTTTCTTTGTAAATTACGCAGTCTGTGGTATTCAGTTGTAGCAACAAAAAACAGACCACTATACCTCATAATATCATCACACTGGGCCTTAGGATTTCACATATGAATTTGGGGCACAGGGGGACGCAAACATTCAGTCCATAGCATAGCTTCAGTTTATTTTTTTTTAAAAACCTAAAGTACTAGATATTTGCATTTTCCTCAGTAAAAAAGTAAGTCTTACCTCACCACCTGATAACCATGTCAGCTCATTATAGTGGACCCTTGAACAACATAGATGTGAACCGTGTGGGTCTACTTATATGCAGATTTATTTTTAATAAATATATTGGAAATTTTTATAGAGATTTGCAACAATCTGGAAAAACCCACAGACGAATCATGTAACCTAGAAATATTAAATTAAATTAAGAAAAAGAGCTGGGCTTGGTGGCTCAGCCTGTAATCCTGTGCTTTGGGAGGCTGAGGTGAGTAGATTGCCTGAGCCTGCGGGTTTGAGACCCACCTAGGCAACTTGGTGAGACCTCGTCTCCATAATAAAAAAAAAAATTAGCCGGGTGTGGTAGCACACACCTGTAGTTCCAGCTACTTGGAAGACTGAGGCGGAATGATCACCGTAGCCTAGCAGGTCGAGGCTGTGGTGGCCGGGAGCGGCGACAGAGTGAGACTCCAACTCAAAAAAAAAAAAGAAAAAAAAATTAAGAAAAAGTTAGGTATGTCATCAATGCACAAAATATATGTAGATACTAGTTTATTTTATCATTTACTACCATCAAATATATACAAATCTCTTATAGAAAGTTAAAATTTATCAAAATTTACACATATAAATACCTATAGACCATACATGGTACAACTCACAGTTGAGAAAAATATAAACAAATTAAAGATACAGTATTAAATCATAACTATGCAATTAACTATGCATATACTGTACTACTGTAATAATTTTATGGCTGCCTCCTGTTGCTATTGCAGTAAGCTCAAGTGTTGTGAGTATCTACTTAAAACATCATATGATCATATCTGCATGAGCAGTTCATCTCTGCAGTAAATTGCTTATCACAGTAAAAAAGTGATCTTTCATAGCCCTGATGTATTTTTTATTGTGTTTAGTGCAATACCAGGAACCTTGAATAACATCATGAGACTTATAAGAAGTGCCACTAGTGATGCTGTAAGTGCTCCCAAGAAGTAGAGAAAATTCATGGCATTGCAAGAAAAAGTTAAATGGCTTGATATGTATCCTAGACTGAGGTCTGCAGCTACAGTTGCTGGCCATTTCAGACAGATGACTCATCTTGTAAACAGGTGTCATAAACTTATGACATCACCAAATGAGTAATAAGGAGGCTTTTGATGTATAGATATGGAGGGATCTCAAGTTATGTTATGTAAGACGATATAAAGAACATGTATAGACTAGCATGGTGGCTCACTCCTGTAGTCCCAGCACTTTGGGAGGTCAAGGTAACAGGATTGCCTGAGTCCAGCAGGTTGAGGCTGAGGTGGCCATGAGCATGCCACTGCACTCCAGCCTGGACAACAGAGTAAGACTCTGATTTAAGAAAAATTAAAATTTAAAAAAAGAAGAAAAAGAAGAAAATTATGGACTTCACAGTAGCTTGGATGGAGTTGGAGACCATCATACTAAGTGAACAATCACAGAAACAAAGAACTGATTCAGCACGTGTTATCACTCACAAGTAGGCCTTGAACATAAGTCACATTAGCACAAGGGAGGGATCAGTAGTCACTGGGCACTGCTGGGGGAGGGAGGGTAGGAGGGCATGTTACAACACAAAGGGCATTTCATATATTACCGGGGGATTGAGGGTCAGTGATAAGCCCAAACTTCACGTGCATTAACAACTCATGTAGTTATTCCTCACTTGTACCCCACAATTCTATAACAAATAAATGAATTAATTTTTTAAAGCTGTTAATAGCCTTAGAAAGATGAGATAATATTTAAAAAGAAACACTCAGAGAACCTAACGTGCAAATATATTGGCCAGAATTAAAAATTCAATAGAGCCAGGCTCCATGGCTCAGCCCATAATCCCATGCCTTTGGGAGGCTGAGGTGAGTGGATTGCCTGAGCCCGCAGGTTTGAGACCCTCCTGGACAACTTGGCGAGACCTCATCTCTACAATAAATCAAAAAATCAGCCGGGCGTGGTAGTGCGCACCTGTAGTTCCAGCTACTTGGAAGGCTGAGGCAGAAGGATCGCCAGAGCCCAATAGGTCGAGGTTGCGGTGACCGGGAGCGGCCACTGCACTCCAGTCTGGGCAACAGAGTGAGATTCCAACTCAAAAAAAAAAAAAGTTCAATAGAAAGATTAGAACTTAAAAGGAAATTCCCCCAAACACACATACAAATGAAGAGCTAGAAATGAACAACCAGAGAAGAGATAAATGATAAGATCAGCATATAAAGTCCAACCTGTGATGTAGAAAGAATAACAGATATAAGAATAAAAATCATCAACGATATAATAGAGGAATATTAGTACTATAGGACATGAGTCACTACATGCTTGGCATGGTGAATGGAAAAGTTCCATCTGCAGCTATTTCATCAGAAAGTTCAGAACACCAGAGACAGAGTGGGGTGGGCATCAGGAAGATGCACAGTACTGGGAAGTCAGTGGATAATACCTGAAGTGAAATGAAGAAAGAAATGGCAGTAAAAGCAAATGCTTAGGAATATGAAACTGACTACTAAAAGGAACAGAAGAAAATGTGGTAGCCTCTGAGTAGTGAACTGAGAGTTGGAGGTGAGGTGGGTGGAGTAGGGTGAAGCAGGGGACCATGATATTTCATTATATGCTTTTTAGTGTCATTCAGTTTTTTATATTATGTGCATGAAACACAAGAGAAGGAGTTAGTTTGATGTTGCTGGCTGTTTAATTTCAAAATGTTCACTACACTGAACCTAATTTTAAAAAGGCTTATTTGACTCTTCCCTAGTTATACTACAGTGCTTTATTCAGGTTTTTAACGTAACATAATGATCTATTTGTTTTTTCTACTAAACTGTGGACTCCTTAATAGCAGGTAAGAACTATATTGTTCCACTTTATTTTCAGAGTCCATGGAACTCCTAGTAATTGCTTGATGGGTAAATTCATATCATAAAATATTCAGATAATATATTTTACATAGATTATTGACAAATACAGGTTTTCTGGTGTACATTTTATTAGTGAAATGTAAAGGATTCTGGAGTTGAAATAAAAGGCAGTGACCTAATCTTTAATTCCTCTCCAGTCTTTGGCCAAATAATTTAATTTCAGGAATCTCAATTTCTTTATTTGTAAAATCTAATGATGGACTAACTGCTAAAATTCCTTTCATCTCTAATGTCTTTGAAATGTTGCCTTCACATAATGAATTTATCAGTTTCATAGATTTCTCTTTTTAGTATTAAGATCATTAAGTTTAGGTTTCTGTATATAAATTTCTTAACTTCAATGAAACAGTTTTATAACAGCAGTCATGTAATCTTTATTTCTAAGCAGTACAACAGAAAATTAAAGTACACTGCAAATTCTTAGAAAATAAAAACTCTTTTTGTTTCTACTTAGGAAAATGTAAACAGCACTTTAAATCACCTTTTCCCACCTCTTTTGGCTATTCTAGGAGCTGATAAAATAGTTAAACCTTATCTGAGAATCACACAGCAGGGAAGTTCAATAATGAATTATTTGCTCATAAATAGAAATAAGCCTTGCATTAAAATACTTTCAGAGTTATATGCCTATATAGGACACGAAGGGGATCCAAAATCAAGTCAAATTATCTTTTGGAGGGCAGGCCCCTAGTAGTACAGGCTTCCTGTGCTAGATAAGTCTTCTAGGGAACTCATCAGCATCAATGTACCAGCTAGTGTGTTGTGAGAGGCTGTGTTCAGCTTCAGTGAATTTTTTTTTTTTTGGGGGGGGGAGATGCTTTCAACACCTTTTCCCATTTCATGATAGGTGATTTACAAGCGCACCTGTCCACACCACACTGAGTATTCAGTAGTTTTTGACCAAAAACAGCATAACCCCCATGCCTCACCCACCCTATTCACCTGATCTCACCCTGAGCGATTTTTTTTTGTTTGTTTGAGTCCCCGGATGAAAAAAGTCCTCAAAAGGAAACGTGTTGCTGATGTGGAAGAGGTGAAAAACCAGCAGAAGCACTAAAAGACATCAAAATCGACTAGTTCCAAAACTGTTTTGAGCAGTGGAAAAAGCTTCTCAATAGGTGTATTGCATCAAATGGAGAGTACTTTGAAGGTGACTGAAATTTAAACATGTAAGAATAAATACACAATTTTTTATAAATAAGTTCCAGGGTTTTTTAGGTATCCCCTTGTATATAATGCAGTATTACATTTTGCCTTGGTTTCTTTTTTAGAACCATGATAGTAGAAATATCAGAGATCTAGTTGTTCATAATTGTTGCAAGTGTGTTACTTTTGAACCATTTGAAATATTTCATTATATATTTGAAGTTATAAAGTTATAAATAGAAAATATGAATTTATGGTGTACTAGGTTTCTTCATATTGTAAATATTTAGATATTATTGGTATAATCGTAATTTACTCTTTAAAATTTTTTTCTCTTTTCAGATGTTTAGTGCCAAAGAAATTGAATTACAAGTAACTGAAATAGAAAAGGAAAAGGAAGAAGCAGAGAAGAAAAAATCGAAAAAGTCTGCCTAATTCCTAGGATGACCACTGGGAACTTGTAATATTTTGTTTTTTTGAACTGCTTGGAATTGTTCAGTGATGTTTTAGAGGAAATAAGTTACTTTGCAGCATTAGCTTTAGTACTTGTGTGTTGTTTTGAAAATGCTAGATTTGTGATTGTCTTCATTCTATTACATAGTCAAACATCGATTAATGTGAAGACTTTCTTTGAAAGGAGATTTCAGTAATTGTTGAAAGGAATCATAATTCCATGTAAGCCTAAGACTACACTCTGTAACTTGTTCAGTATGTTACTTTTCTTCATATATGCACATTTAATTTTAAAACTTTTAATTTTAAAAAGTTAGTAATTTTGTGGTTTGAATATTAACTGACTGTCAGAGATAGCTATTCAAAATAAACTGAATATACTATTGAGTTGTATTTGCCAATAAATGACAAAAACATCCTTATATTAGTGAGTTTTCCAAATTTTGTCAGAGCCATCTTTATTTTAAATATTTTGTCATATTTATTTTATCTTTTTCATTTTACAAGTTGCAGTATGTTGTTTTGATCATGGAACAAATCTTAAAGACCTACTCCAACCAGGCAATTTAAGTAGGGTAAGAGCTTATAAAGGCATCTTAACAGCATGCTATATGAAAAGAAGGAAAGAAATTAATACATATATTTTAGATTAGTTTTTTAATTTTACATCAAGTATGCCCAGTATTTTAGGCTTGTTGCACATTCCATGAACTATCTAAGTGCTTACTATATGCTTGGCATTGTGCTAGGCTTATTGTTAGGAATAAGAGAAAAACAAAAAGTGATCCCTGCCCACAGAGAGAATGTAATCTAGTTGGCCCACAAAGTGAAAGAGGTTAATGCCTACAATGAGTTTATATTTTTGAAAACAAAGAACATTAGCAGACATAAAAACAAAGCCCTTTAAGCCTACAGGCACTGTGGCTCAAGTCTGTAATTCCAGCACTTTGGGAAGCCAAGGTAAGAAGATTGCCTGAGACCAGGGGTTTGAGACCAGCCTGGACAACTTGGCAAGACCTCATCTCTACAGTAAATCAAAAAATTAGTTGGGTGTGGTGTCTCACGCCTGTAGTTTTGGCTACCTGGAAGGCTAAGGTGGAAGGATTGCCTGAGCCCAGCAGGTCGAGGCTGCAGTTGCCATGAGCATGCCACTGTACTCCAGTACAAAACAAAACAAAGCTCATACACCTTATTATCTTAACGCTTTGTGCTCTTTTAATTTTTTTTTTAAGAGGAGAGAGGGTTGAGCTTGGGGGTAAGGATAGATTTCCTAAACAAAATGCACAAAGCTTCGCTACTAAAGGAAAATAATGATAATTTAACTACCCGAAAATTCATGTAAACGTGTCTACATAAAAGATACCATAAAACAAGTGTAAAATTACAGGAGAAGACATTTGTAACACATACAAATGAAAAAATATGTGTGTCTTAAATGTATAAAGATCTTGATTTAAAGACATAAGGCAAAGGAATAAAAACAGTGCAACAGAAAAATGAGTGACACATACAGACAGTTCACAGAAGAGAACACCTGAATGATTTCTTCTTATGAGGATCTTATCAAATAATGTTCTACCAAACTAGTAATCAAAGAAATGCTTATTATAACTATGGTGACATACTATTTTATAACTATCATATTGGCAGTAACTAAAATGCATAAATTGTTGCTGAGCACGTGGAGCCAACTGAACTCCTACCTACTGCTATTAGGACTGTAGCCTGTAGATTAAGACAACTGCTTTGGACAACAAATGAGTGATTCGATGAAAAGTCAAGAGGCACATGCCCTTTAGCTAGCAGTTCCATGCCCGGATACATTAGCATACAGAAGTTTGCATATATGTAGAAAAATAATCATGTACAAAGGCATTGTTTATAACAGAAAACAACCAATGTCCATCAAAGGCAAATACAATTGTGATGTATTCATATAGTAACATACACAGAGCAGGAGAAAAGGAAAAAGGAACTACAGCTGTTTGTGTTAAAATGGATAAATTTCAAAAACACTGAGCAAAAAATAAAGCATTGTGAAAAAGTATATACAATGTAATAACACAGACCGCTTGAATGCCTACAAGGCTGCTATAATGTTTCAAAGATACAATGTTTGAGATGAAACTGAAAACAAGCAAGGGAGGATAGTTGTTACACAATTCAGGACAGTGAGTACTGTCTGTGGGGAGCTGGAAAGGGGAATGCACGATTCTGGTAAGGTTGTGTGCATGTTAGTTACCCTTATTTGTGTATTTCACAAGTATAAATCTAAGAAACACAGAACAAAGATTAAGAAAAATTTACGCCGGACTCGGTGGCTCAGCCTGTAATCCCGCGCTTTTGGGAGGCTGAGGTGAGTAGATTGCCTGAGCCCGCGGGTTCGAAACCCGCCTGGGCAGCGAGACCTCATCTCTACAAGAAATAAAAAAAAAAAAATCAGCCTAGCGTGGTAGCGCATGCCTGTAATTCCGGCTACTTGGAAGGCTGAGGCGGAAGGATCGCCAGAGCCCAGCAGGCGAGGCTGCGGTGGCCGGGAGCAGCCACTGCACTCCAGTCTGGGCAACCAAGTGAGACTCCAACTCAACAAAAAAAAAAAAAAAAGTTTAAATGCAGCCATAAAATAGAATGGCATTGTGTCCTTTGCAGAAACAAGAGGGAACTGGAGACTATCATCCTAAGTGAACTAACTCAGAAACAGAAAACTATACACCACATGTTCTCAGATATATGTGGAAACTGAATGTCTTAAAGATGAAAATAATAGACACTGGGGACATTAAAAGGGGAAGGTGGGGAGGAGACTTACGGTTCAGAAGTTACTTATTGGGTACAGTGTTCACTATCTGAGGAATGGGTCACTAAGCCCAGCCCACAGTAGTACACAATATGCCCATGTAACAAACATGCACTTGTACCTCCTGAAGAGAGAGAAAAAAGAGAGCGAGAAAGAAAGAAACTTTCAAGAGAAAAATTTAAACATGTATAACCCCTCAGAAAGCATATGATTAGAGAAAAACTAAAAGTATACATAGCCATGATATGTCAAGTGGTATCTGTGAATGCATCCACATGTAGTAAAAATAAAAGACAATCAGATTGGAAGAGGGTGGAGCACATGGGTTTCAACTGCATTTGACACACCCTATTACTGGATGGTATCTGATTGCTTGTTACGATAATCCCTGTAATTTACGTGTGTATTCAAGATTAAAGAGTGAACAGAGTCAGAGACATCTTTGCTTCTTACTAAGGTTAGTACATAATCCTTTAAAAAATTTATTTCCTCTCATCACTGGTTATCCTGCTCATTGAGGGAGATGAACACGTGGGGCAATAATGAAAGATCATTGTTTGAAGTGAAATCATGATTAATTCTCTAGGAAACAACGCTGGAATTTGCATAATAAGTTTTAAAGGACATTCAAACTCTAGTCAATTTCTACTTGATCTTTGGAAAAGGATATGATTGAAATGAATACTCTCCAAGTTTGCAAAATATATCTTTACCACTTAAGCTACTTAATATATTTTGTATTACCTTACAGCTTCAGAATCCAAGATATTTCCATACATTATGTAATGTAATTAAAATATGTGTATGTGTGTGTTTATGTCTACTGAGACTAGCCCCTTTAGAAAGAAATTAAGCAATTGCTTTAGCATTTTTCCACAAATATTTTCAGTGCTTATCAAGGAGTTTTAAAAATGCCTACCCACAAGAAGGTTTTCCATCGTATTTTCTTTTCATTTTTAAATTTTAGATTCGGAGTACACATGCATGTTTGTGACATGGGCATATTGCATCCTCGTGGGACTTGTGCTTCTGGAGTCCTTCATGATATTTTAAATACAGGACTGTAAAGAGATGCTGTGCTTCACATATCACATATGAGTGAAAACAGGTGACTAGACTTTTCTCTTTGAATATCTTTTTTTTCTTTTTTTTTGAGTTGGAGTCTCACTCTGTAGCCCAGACTGGAGTGCAGTGGCCGCTCCCGGCCATCGCAGCCTCGACCAGCTAGGCTCCGGCGATCCTTCCAAGTAGCTGGAACTACAGGCATGCGCTACCACGCCTGACTCATTTTGATTTATTGTAGAGATGAGGTCTCGCCAAGTTGCCCAGGCGGGTCTCGAACCCGCGGGCGCAGGCAATTCACTCACCTCAGCCTCCCAAAGGCGCGGGATTACAGACTGAGCCACCAAGCCCGGCTTGAATATCTTGATTTCAAGAAGTATATGTCAGAAATAAGGAAATAACATGAAGAAATGTATGTAAAAGCCTTATTGAAAGAATTTTTTTTTTTTTTTTTGAATCAGAGTC